GGGGCATTCCACCTCTTCTCAGAAGATCAACACAGATGCGCCAGCCACCTACGCGGCTGGGCATTTGAAAACTTGTTTTTTTTAAGGGGGATATTTTGCCGTTAGAGGCACTCGACTTCCACCAGATGGTGGAAGTCGAGTGCCTCTAACTTCCACCATCTGGAAATCGAATCGAAAGCTGCAGATCTATGTGGAGGGACAGTGGTTAAATGTAAAAGAAATGTGGGCTTCCTGCTTCAAGAGTGAGCTAACTGTTAGAACTAATACAGAAGCCCAAAACAAGATGCTCAAAGAGCACTACTTAAAATGCCACAGTGGACGAAAGAGCCTGATAAGTCTGCTGCAGATGATGAAGACATTTCTGAGTGACAGGGAGAAACATTTCTCAAAAGACAACTTGCACTTCTCCTCAGGCCACAGAGTTTATCACTAGTCTGTACCAACATTCCTGCACAACAGGCCACGTGCCGTGGTCAAGCACATAATGGCAAGTCTACATGCTGCCGGGGACATTGATGCGGACCACATAATCACAGATGAGCCTAGTGGCATATTTCATGTTCAAAGTGCTGCATCGGCAAATGCTTCTTACCTTGCACAGTTCACCACAACAAGCTGCAGTTGCCCTGATTTTCAGAAGACGAGACTGCCCTGCAAACACTTTGGTGCCATAATTTTGAATATCCAAGGTTGGTGCTTCGACAGGCTGCCTGCCTCTTATAGGAATGGTCCATTAATGAGCCTTGACAGCTTAACTGTCTCGGATCTTGCAGTAGCCACCCCATCGGAAAGGTGTGGACATCTTGCGGCTAATGTGAGTAAAGATTGCAGAGCCACAGACACCACACTCCCAGACTTGAAACATCGGGAAAAGTTGGGAATAAGAGTGCTGAAAGCAAAAGTCCCAGCTGAATTTGAAAGGAGAAAAAGCTTTTCCTACTACTGCACCAGCCAAGATAACCTGAGTGCTAGAACTGCTTAGAGAGTGCAGCTCCATGCTTCAAGAAGAGACACCATCTGTTGGCGGTCTGGGTCTGTGCGGCTCACCCACAAAGGGGCACTCCGGTCAGTGCAAAAGACAATCGGGCAACTGCAGCCTATCCAATGTTTCTGGGCTGAAACGACACTGCCCTCTTCATCAAGAGCATTGGCGTGCACGGGGACGTGTTTTGGAAAAGGCAGCCATACTACGGAAAGCATACAATGTTGCACCAACATGAGTAAAAATTCAAGATGGGGGAAAGGATTCCAAGATCTAAATTTTTTAAATAGAATTCGATTTTAACATGTTCCAAATTGTAATATAGTACATTCTGTGGGACGTGGTTGTCCGTGAATGTTCCCTTAGAACCACCTTCAACCCTCGCTTTGTTTGTGTCCGTTTGGTTTGAATGAATGATTGACATGTTTCCAATTTTTATGACACTATTATGTACTCCTTGTATTGTACACTTTCTAGTACTCTCATCACACTGCAGAAGTGTACAGTATCCTGTACGATTTTTTGGTCCAAACACAACATTCATGCTTTGTTTCACTTTACTCATACAGATTAGCACTAGAAAACAGATTTTACCATTTAAGTGGAGGCCCAACTGGCCCACACTAGCTCATTCCATTACGTAGTATCTTGGGTAAAAACTATTCAGGTGTGAAAAAAAACACAAAAATTTGGCAACTGCAGATTTGTGTAAGCTGTGTCAAATTCTCTACCTATGAAGACACCACCTGAAGTGCACCAGACGTGTTGATTATTCAGTTTCCTCACCTACCTATTTTTTTCCATAAATCATCAGAACTTTCTGTGGTGCCTCAGTGAAACATATGGGGTACACGTACATAGCATTGCAATTTCTTTAGCGATGCAATGACAAATTTTTTTTAATTTCGAGGTTTATTTTATACTAGGAAGTTTAACCAAATGAGAAACATAATGAACAACCATGCACTTGCATACAAGTACCAAACACAGTACTGTACAAACTTGATACACCTCCATATTTTGTGTAAATAAAAATTTGTTTCACGTGGAACACTGTTCACTGCAAAAAAACCTGTCAATAAGTGCAGTTCAAGCGTGCCTAACGACACCTTCCCTAGTTAAACTGGACTTTCCCTTTAGCGCAGCTCGTCCTCTCTTAAAACAACATAGTCATGCCCTACAATGACCGATAGCCCATAAGTGCAATAACGACAGATATCTTTGCAATTTCAAGATATGTTTATGTAACGTAGAAACTTGAGATATTGAAATAAAGAATAACTAACCAATACTTCGTCTCATCCTAACATCAACTAGCCTGTGAGGTTACAAGCGCGAGCTCCTTGCATTGAATCATACTACCTCGGCTGCACGAGCGCACGTTCACCGGGAGTACCACAGCTACTCGTTCACGATTGTAGGCTTTGCAGTTAGTCCATCTCAGGATGAAAAGAAGTGTAGAAGAAAGTACATTCAAGTCGACACACTTGCGAGAGCAGCTGCTTAACCACACAACACAGATATAATAAATAATGTACAATGACACAAATCTCAATTGACTCCTGAGTGCAATGTGTTGCCTCTGCTACACTGTACTTGTACCACTTGTACGCCAAGAGGGGCGGTTACTGTGCAGCGCCAAAGAAAATGTGTTTCTGGAGCAATTTCTTGATTTTGTATGCGTCAACAAATATATACATTGTTAATGACTTCAATATAGACCTGTCCACTGTATCTGCTTCGCAAACTCTATTTACCTCTATTCTCGAATCAAATGGTTTTAACAATTTAATCGAATGTCTAACATTTGACCTCTTCATAACAAATAATGATAATGAACATGGGTATTCTGGCGTAATACTCAGTGATGTCAGCGACCCTTTCACCATTTTTTTTTTTTCATTTATTAGAAAATTTCGCAGTAAAACATCAATACCACTACAGGAACCAATATTTGCTCAACAAATGAATGCCCAAAGATTGGACGTTTTTTAATGCCATAGGTAATACTGACTGGAGCTTAGTATACATAAAGAAACAGCAGATGAAGCTCATAACATTTTCTTGTCTTCTTTAACTAGGATTCATGAAAATTGTTTTTCATATAACAAATAGAGAAAAGCAAAAAGTCGAGAACGCCATGGGTCACACCTGAACCAGTTCGTAAAATAAACATACCGTAAAAAAAATCTTTTTAAAAAATTTATTAAAAACAGGGATCCAAGTCAATTATGTGATTATAAATCTTTCCGTAACAAACTGAATTCCGTACTGAAACATGCTAAATTGAATTACTACAGTTGAACCTCGATGTAACGAAGTCGGTAAAATTCGCAATTTACTTCGTTACATTGAAATTTCGCTAAATCGAAATTTGGCTTTAGCATGCGAAAAAAAATTCCGAAACATTTTACGGGTATGAAAACTCACCGAAAATGACATTTATTTAGGGGCGAAGTAGTCCGCGAGTTTTGCTTGCGCCTTGTCCGACAGTAGCAGCGGCGTCATACGGCGTTCGAGCGCCCAGAGCGCTTGCACGGCATCCTGCTGCCCATGCGACGCCGTGTACCTCCTCAGTACGTCCATTGCGTCGAGCACTTCCCGAGTGCTCGTGATCTCGGCAGTTTCTTCAGGATGGCGTCCAAAACGTTTGCTTTCTCATCCAAAGAAAGAACTTTACGTTTCCTTATGGCAGCAAGCACGTAAGTGAACCGCCCGGTTAAAAAATAAAGCTGTTTAGTTTAGGCAGTTTAGGCGGTGCCAATGTTTCCAACCTACACAGCACTCTTCACCGCACAGTTTACTTGCCCCCTTGCCACCCTTGCCCCCACAGTGATGCTTGCGCCGCTTGCGCCCACGCTCGCAAGACGATAATCGGTCTTTTCGGTCTTCTCCTAGATGGCACTGCCCGTGCGATCGCGCCATCACGTCGCTCCCCCGCTGAAGTTGGCTCCCGCGCTACCCGCGGTGCAGTGGAGTGGACTATGGTTATCAGTGAATGTCAGTGGTGATGCTGGTATGCCGTGTTAACTTTTTGCTCGGCATTTTCTGGCCAGCCTCGCGGAATCCGCTTTGCCGCATGCCTCGCCGGCGCTACCGGCGCCGCATCCTCGGGCAGCCTAGGAACGTTGGAAGGCCTGTCCCCGTGAAGTAACCTATCAAGCGCTCGCGTTTGCGCATAATTTTTTTTTTTTTAACCACAATTTTTTTGCGAAGTTGTTTTTTAGAGTTGATTTATTTATTGCCTTCTATGGCAATGGCACTTCGTTATAGACTTAGACTTCGTTATATAGAGACTAAAAATACATGGTGTCTATGGGCAAGAAATTATGAAAAATAAAATACTTCGTTAAATCGAAGATTTCGTTACATTGAAGTTCGTTATATCGAGGTTCGACTGTATAACAATCTGTTCAATAATACCGTAAGACAAAAGGGAGATATTTTATGGAAACTCAAATTTTATAAAACCAGTTGAAAAATGTTCTCGTTATAATGTTGAACTAGATGGAAGCAAACTGCCCGACTTACAGGTTGCTACCACTTTTAATGATTACTTCGTAAATTTGGTACAACCAGCAAATTATAGCATAGATCCGTCGGTAACATCGCGATATGTTCCTAATGAATCTACGTTTTTTCCTACTACAATAAGTGAAGTGATTAGCATGTTCCTAAATCTTAAAAACTGCTGATCCCAGAACATAAGTGGATTGCAAATTAAACCCATCAAATATGCCATTGATATATTTGCTCCTCCTGTCACGTACATTTTTAACCTCGTTTTAACAACCAGTGTTTTTCCAAAAGTGCAAAAGGCAGAAGTAACGGAGCTGCACAAAGGTGGTGACAAAAACAACCTCACTAACTATAGGTCGATATCAATTTTACCGATACTGTCTAAGGGTCTTGAGAAAATAATTCATTCAAGACTAACCAACTTGCTTAGCCCTTAAAAGCCCAAAGGGAATATGCTTCCCACTTCGAAAAAGGCGCCATAAACAACTGATGCAAATTTTTTATTTTTTCTGTATTGTGGCGCCATCTAGCCACATGCCTAACAAACTACACAAAATTATTTTGAAGGTTTTCGGTGCATCCACTAGGCGGCGAGAATGGTTTTTTCCCGGCAAGGTGGCATGGCTTCGGCTCTTTGTGCTCGTACAATTTGCCGAAGAAACTTTAGCCTGAGGACGGCAAAAAACAACTTCTAAAGGTGCATATATTTAATTAATGTCTCTACGGCATCTCGTGCATCGATTTTAACCACTTATAAGCATGTTCATTGCGTTCATTAGATGCTGTAATGGTTTTTCCCGACCATAGGTGGTGGGAATATATTTCCCTATGGGCCTTTAGCAGAACATTATACCTGCGCTTGTTTCTCCACAGATGTCGAAGTTCTTGTCAGTGGACGAGGCACTGGATGTCTTTTTCTCCCTGCCTGATGACCCAAACCAGTCAAGTGACAGCGAGGAAGAAGAAGACGGCGACGATGTTCCGTCGGGTGCGGTAACCCGTTCGGAAGTCCAGCCGAGTAGCACAGCGTCACAAGGAGCAGCACAGGTGAGTGCGTATGATGTGCACTCAAGTGATGACGCCAGTGATGATGAAGAGACTGCAAGTGAGTGGACAATACGTTCGCTTCCCCACCGAAGCAACATTCCCGATTATTGCTGCCAAACACCTGCAACTCCTAAGCTTCTTCCAACGCACACGCCAATAATGATCTTTGATGCCCTGTTCGGAGGTGCTTTGACCATACTCGTTGAGCAAACGAACATATACGCCAAAGAAACCAAAAAGAAAGCTTGGCAGGATACCGCAGCTGAAGAAATGAAAGGATTCCTAGATATTCTCATCAGAATGGGCATTCTTCAACTTCAAAACAGACGGGACTACTGGTCCACGGACAGCGACCTCGGAGTGGCATCAGTTAGCCCAGTGATGCCAAGAGCACGACTTTTTCAGCTTCTTCGATCACTGCATGCCAACGACAACAAGACAGCGACTAGAAAAGGAGACGTCGGCCATGTCCCTTTGCACAAACTTCGACCTCTTATCACAGAGCTCTCCGAAACATTCAGAGCTAGCTACCAGCCATCTGCATACCACTCAATTGATGAGAGTATGATTCTGTTCAAAGGAAGGAAGTCATTCAAACAGTACATGCCCATGAAGCCTATCAAATGTGGGTTCAAAGTATGGGTGCTTGCTGATGCTACAACTGGCTTTATTAACCAGTTCGAAGTCTACACGGGCAAAGAGGGCGATGGCGGTGGGCTCGGCTACAGGGTAATCCAGAAATTCACTGAGGAACTTGTCGGGACGGAGTGTCTGGTAGTGTTCGACAACTTTTTTAGTTCACCCGAACTCATGCAGGACCTGTTTGACCACGGGATATATGCCGTGGGAACTGTCCGTGCACAAAGAAAAGGTCTTCCTGATGTTGTGAAGAACAAAAAGAAAATCAATGAAGGCGACCACAACTACAAGGTGAAGGGAAATGTTGCTGCGATCCAGTGGCAAGACAAGCGGCTAGCCAACGTAGTAACAACAGACCACGATCCTTCAGAGACGGTAACAGTGGAAAAGAAAAATAAGGACGGGTCAAAGAGAAGCATCAAGTGTCCACTAGCAATTGTGCAGTACACGAAGCACATGCGGGGAGTAGACCGCTTTGATCAGCTGCGAGAGTATCACACCGTTACTCGTAAGTCAAGAAAATGGTGGATGCGAATCTTCTACTTTCTTCTGGACTGTGCTCTTGTGAATAACTTCATCCTTTACCAGCTGTCAGAGGGGGAGGCGAACCACCAGAGTTTTCTCCTAATACTGGCACGCCAGTTGGCCAACGGCTATAATGGAAGGAAAAGGTCAGCCACGACCGCTTTTCGACGCGTCTTGCAGCAAGCAAGTACCAACAAAAACCTTGGCGTGCCAGATGAGGTGCACCTGTCCAACGGGCCACATTACCCACAGGGCAAAGCAGCCTACAAGAGGTGTAGGTACTGCTCCACGGCCAAAAATGACAAAAGATCAAAGATCACATGCACAACTTGCAAAGTACACCTTTGTGTGGTGCACTGTTTTGCCAAGTGTCACCAAGAGTATGTGTGGCACTGAAGGCCCAGAGGGAAGAATATTCCCATGCCCTAATTAATGGCTTTCAATTAGTATTTTCATACCTTTTATTATTTGTGCTTGTGCAGCAATAAACATTATTTCTAGCGAGTTTCATGTTCCTATCACTGATAGAAACATTATGGGCTTTTAAGAGTTAACAAACATAATATTCTAACTCACAATTTGGTTTTCGTAAACACAGGTCGACAGAAACCACACTATTAACACAAAAAGAATGAATTGTTGAAGCATTTAAGAGGAAAGAACTCATACCTGGAATATTTATTGACCTTAATAAGGTGTTTGACGACATAAATCATGATATACTAAACCTTAAGCTTCACGCTTATGGTATTAGAGGAAGCGCAGCATTATTAATTCAATCTTATTTATAGCCTCGGTCTCAATCTGTTTGTATAAACTTTTCTTTTTCTCCACTTGACACTATTACAACAGGTGTGACCCAGGGCAGCACATTAGGCCCTCTTCTCTTCATGCTTTACATTGACATTATCAACATAATGACATCAGCAAAAATAATAGCCTATGCCGATGATATGACTTCTTTTTACTGGTACTGACCCGACTGATATAGCTTCAGAAGCAAATAGCTCTTTTAGAAATTTGCAAAGATACATCATTGCAAATTGTCTGCAAATAAACCCTTATAAAACTAGAGCGATTTTCTATAGACCCAGAAACAAATTAACTTGTAGGCCAACATATCTTCATTTAGACAACCAGAAAATAGAAGTTGTAAGTGAAATGAAATCCTTGGGTGTTCATTTTACAGAACACCTCACATGGGACTATCATACCATTAATCACATCCGTACAAAGCCGAATGGCTGGTAAATAAATGGGCTGGTAAATAATGCCGAATGCCGAACAAAGCCGAATGGCTGGTAAAAAATGGGCTGGTAAATAAACATAGATACAGCCTACCATGCAATATTAAGAAAATGTTATACAATGGCTCATTTTGTTCCTCACCTAACATATTCTAATCTCCATATGAGGTACAACTAATAAACATAACACACATATCCTCCTTCGTGCACAGAAAAAGTCAATTAGAATAATAGCAAATCTCGCATAGAATGAGAGCACTGCTAATTATTTGCAGCAGTTAAACATCCTAAATATATCTTTCCTTTACAAACTAAGACTCACGTGCCTTTACAGATCTGCCCTACTCGCAAATAACACCTTCATAATTGAATTTTTTAATCTAAACAAGCATCTCACAAGCCATAATACACGACATGCAGAACCATGGTTTGTGCCGACATCTCAAACAACATATGGACATGAATCAAAAAGGCACAATCTAGCTTACTTACAAAACAAATTGATTCAATATCACGTCATACTTGAGGTTGTCACCAAGCCCCACGTGATATCCCTGTTTATGACGCTCACTGACACTCACTAACAAAATCTCACGTCTTTTGTTGACTACTGCTCCAATTTTATTGTATGTGTGTAGTTTTGTATTTGTTATTTCATTTGGTTTGTAAATGAGTGATTAGGAAACATTGTCATCACTGCTCTCTCTGCCGTTTCAATCGGGGCAGGGACCTCGTCAAGTAGCTGAATGCAGCTTTTTGTCCTTGCCCCTCCGCTCCCTGGAGAGGAAATAAAAAGTATTATATATTTTTTCAATACTCTTATGTGCATGTGTTTATTTTTAGGTTTAGAGTGGCTATGCTATGCTATGCTTGACTTTTTAACTGCAGGGTGGCATCACACAAGCACCTTATTTGCTTTGATGTGCCCGTTTTCTTAAAGAGAGCCGATGTCTGTGGTAATGAATTTATTAGTAGTTGTTGCGGCCGGAAGCGGGAACCCTGGCCAGAGCCGCCAGCCTTCTTCCGGCAAAGCAACAACAATCGTCGAGCGCAACGCCATCACGCCGACTAGGGTCGGACGTCAGTAACCTGTACTCTAACAATGCATTCACGTTTCTCGTCACCTATAAAGAACCCGAGTTACAAAACGTTGTGTTTCCTGACGCGCTAACAATGACGACGAGGATGGGATAAGGAGAGGACAACCGAACGCCAGTACATGAACGTTAAGTGGTGTTAGTCGGTGTGACGGTGGGGCCCGGGAACAAAGGAGAAGCGGTGGCCGCCATGGCGCAAGCTCAAGCCCTCTACGCCGCGCCGATCCAGTATGACCCGGCGGTGGAGAATCGGACAAACTACGTGGAGCGACTGGAGGCATACTTTGACGCCAGCAGGGTGAGGGACGACGGTAGGAAACGTTCGATCCTAATATCCGCTTTTAGCCCGGAAGTTATGCATGACTGCGAAGCTTGGTGGCGCCAAACAAACCGCGAGACGAAACCTTCGACACGATCATGAAAGCGCTTACGCAGCACCTCAGTCCGGAACCGTCCGAGATCTATGAGACGTTCAGGTTCCAGTCACTAAAGCAAAATGAGGGGGAAAGCGTCGCGGACTACCTGGCCGAATTACGGAGAATCGCAGACCACTGCGGTTTTGGGGACGCTCTAGACAACAACCTAAGGGACCGATTTGTCATCGGACGGTGCGAGAAGACGGTGCAGAGGATCCTCCTGGCGAAACCAAAGAAACTTACGCTCAAAGAGGCGCTGGACACAGTGTTGGCGGCGGAGTTAGCAATGCGGAACGCCGACCGGCTTCCTGGCTCAAGTTCGCTACCCACTACTGCGGGGGACGTGAATGCCTTGCGGTTTAAGAAGCACAAGGGACGTCAGCAGGAAACGTCTCGGACGAAGACTGCGCAGCCCTGCATTCGTTGCGGAGACAGCTCTCATGACCAGCCAAACTGTCCACACAAGAAAACGACGTGCTTCACGTGTAACAAGCAGGGAGATTTGGCGAGCCGGTGCTTTCGCACTCAGTCGACACCGGCGGTCAACCGAAAGAAGCAGCAGGCCAACCTGCTCACGGAAGAAGCACAGCTAGGACAGGCAGAGGAGGCTTTCCACTTGTTCACAGTGCACACTCCAAAAGCTACGGTTGATTCAGTCAACGAAGTGCTCCAGTGGGGAACAGTAGAAGTGACCATGCAGGTTGACACTGGCTCCCCCGTGTGCATGATTTCTAGGGACACATACTCCAAGAATGATAAGGTCTGGCCACCCCTACAGGAAACTACCAAGGAGCTCCACTGCTACCTGGGGAAACTACCAGTGCTGGGAGTCCTGGCGATGCCAGTAAGGCATGGAAACAAACAAGTGCAAGGACAACTGTACATTGTGGATTGTACGGGTCTATCCTTCTGTGGTCGAGACGTCATCTAAGCATGGAACCTCCTGGAAGAGCATCTAATTGGGAGCATGCAAACAAGTGACAACCAAGTGCAGGACACGGTCAAGAAGCTGAAAGAAGACTTCAAGGATCTCTTCTAGCCGGGGACGGGGTTGATGAAGGGACCTGTGGCCTACGTCAACTTAAAGAAAGAGGTAAACCCCAAGTTCTGCAAGGCCTGGTCTCTTCCCTATGCCCTACGTGACAGGGTAGGAGAAGAACTGGCCTGAATGTGCAAAGAGGGGATATTGTCTCTGGTATTCCACAGTGAGTGGGCAACGCCAGTAGTGCCAGCGACCAAGGCCAATGGAGGTCTCAGGATCTGTGGGGACTTTAAAGTAACCCTGAACATGGCATGCGACATCGAACAATACCCACTTCCCAAAGTGGAGGACATCTTTGCACCTCTGAAGGATGGCCATTGGTTCTCGAAATTGGATCTTCGGGAAGCCTACTGCCACGTGGCCTTAGATGAAAAATCCAGACAGGCAGCAGTGCTCAACACCCACAAGGGTCTCTTCTGCTACAACCGGCTGCCATACAGCATCGCTTCAGCACCAGCGATCTTCAAAAGGAAAATGGAGGCGTTGTTGAAGGACATTCTGGGAACGCAGGTTTTATTGGATGATGTCTTGGTGGCAGAAGGCAAAGACGAATTTGGGCAGACGCTGCGGAAGGTTCTGCAGAGATTCAGGAAAAATGGCATCCGACTGCGGGAAGAAAAATGTGTGTTTGGTGAAGGTTACCTACCTCGGACATAGGATCGACCGACGTGGGCTGCATCCATCAGAAAAGAAAGTGGACGCCATCGTGAAGGCTCCTGCACCTCGCAACCTCCAAGAAATTCTGTCCTTTTTAGGACTCATCACATACTAAAGGAGTTTCCTGCCTAGGATGTCTACACTTCTGGCTCCGCTCCACAACCTGCTGAGGAGTGAGGTGAAATGGAAATGGGAAACAGAAGAACAGGCTGCATTCGACGGGGCGAAAACAACCTTGCAGAAGTCCAACCTTCTTGTGCACTATGACCCAAGTAGGGAACTCATTTTGGAGTGTGATGAGTCACCAGAAGGCCTAGGAGCAGTGCTGTCTCACTGCGTGAATGGCATCGACAGGCCTATCGCCTTCCAGTCAGGATCCCTTACCAAGGCTGAGAAGAACTATTAGCAGCTGGAGAAGGAAGCGCTTGCGCTCATTTTTGGGGTAACGAAGTTTAGGGATTACCTTCTCTGCAGGAGCTTCACCCTAAAGACAGACGACAGACCACCAACCTTTGGTGGGATTGTTCAAAGAAAGCAAATCGATTCCAAGCATGGCTGCGGCACGCATCTAGAGGTGGGCACTAACGCTTGGAGCGTGTAAGTATGTGATCAAGTACAAGCCTGGGTCACAAAACCTGAACGCAGACACTCGGTCGTCTGCCGATGGCAACTGCCCCAGATGGAGCAGAAACCGAAGAACCCCAAGATATGGGGGTCTTCACAGCGGACATGTTGGACGCCAGCCCAGTGTCCAGACGACAGCTAGAAGACCTGACGGGGAAGGACCCAATTATGCAGAGCCTACAAGACACGATCAGCAGAGGTTGACCAAAAAGACTTTTGGACAGTTGCCTTCAGCCATACTGGCATCATCGTAATGCACTCACGCTGGAAGGGGCCCTCATCTGCATGGGTGGAAGAGTGGTGATTCCAGAATGTGCACGGAGGGCATTTCTATTGGAGCTTCATGATACTCACAAGGGAGTCAATGCAACTAAGGCACTGGCACGCACGCTGGTGTGGTGGCCAGGCATTGACCGTGAGGTGGAAGAGTTGCTTCACCGGTGCACAGTGTGCCAACGGGCGGCTCCCATGCCACCGAGTAGGGAGCCACTGGCATGGCCAGCAACTAAACAGCCGAGGTCAGGCTGTTTGCCCAGTTGAAAATTTCCATTAGATTCCAATTGGAATTTCCAATTGGTACCAGCTAGGTTTTGGGACAACCAATTGGTCACTGCAATGGGAACCAATTAGAACCCATTAAAATTCCAACTGGAAATTTTTTTCCAATTGGTGAGACCCATTGGCCAGAGTGCTTCCAATTGGAACCCACTAAAACCAATTGGTTCCAATTAAAACCAGTTAGAATTCCAACTGGATCTTATTGGAATTTTCAGCTGGGTGTGCAAGGAACTTTGGTAATGGACCTCGCTGGCTGAGTGGAACCATCACGTAAGAACTTGGAAACCGCATGGCGCTGGTGCAAACACCTGGTGGGATGATCCGCAGACATCATGACCAGCTACGCCTGAGGCTTGAGGTCAACACACCTGACCCTCTGCATCAACCCAGTGAGCGCAATGAGGATTTAACGTTAGAATGGGGCCAATCCTCAGTGGCTCCAGAGACTTCAAGGGCCACCGTGGAGCCAAGCAAGGAGCAGCGTCCAGTGCAACAACACCGACCACCCGAGCGGCTGGACTTGTAGTTCCACCATTCCACCAAGTGTGGGGGAAGTGTTGCGGCCGGAAGCGGCAACACTGGCCAGAGCCGCCAGCCTTCTTCCGGCAAAGCAACAACTGTTGTCGAGCGCGACGCCATCACGCCGACTAGGGTCGGACGTCTGTAACCTGTACCCTAACAATGTATTCACGTTTCTCGTCTCTTATAAAAAACCCGAGTTACAAAGCGCTGTATTTCCTGACGCGCTAACAGTAGTAGTAATCTTATTATCAGTAATAGTAGTAGTATTATTGCTCCCAGCAAGGACAGATGCTGTTATTATTATTATTATTATTATTATTATTATTATTATTATTATTATTATTGCGCACAGCAAAGGACGCATGCTGAATCTGCTCCCGCTGCTTCTATGGAATACTGCTGTTTCTACACTGTTCAGGGTGCCAGCTATGTGCCCACACCAAGTATACCTGCTGGACGGAAAATAAGACCACCTTTCTGCAATCTGGGGTAAGCTCCTTAATCTGCAAGAGTTGCAAAACATCAGCGGGGCTGCTAGTCCTAACAGCAGAAGCCAGGCCGGATTTGACGGAAGCGTCGTTCAGCCACCACTCCGCACCGCCCTCCCCCACTGCTTCCACTCGTTCGGAGAAACCTTCCTCTTCCCCAGGCGGTCCCCATGCAGACATGAAATCCTTACAAGCCCTCCTCCTCAACTCCCTCGAGGGGATCTCGTTCCTCACACACGAGGTCGCTGCTCTTTCATGACGAGAACGCGCAGCTCTGCCAAGGGTATAGGTATACCTCCCAGCTGCACGCAAGTGCCATACTGTCTTTGCGGACTGAGCTCGGAGCTGTGCGTAACACTCGGAACCAATGGAACCGGCCGGCAGGAAACAGCTGCCTTTTTCCTAAACTGCGGCGATGAGCCCCCACCATCCCCTTCCTTTGGTGACCCTGTCCAACCTTCAGGGCATCCATGCCATCAAGCTCCATCAAACTTCAATGGGGCTGGGTTCCGCAAGGAGGGGCCAAAGGTCCCCAGGGCAAGACGGCCGTTGTTGAGGGCAAGTGTGTCAGCCAGCTGTACACCTGTGGCACTGCCACCCTCTCCACCACGTCGCCAACACGCTGTGCACATGACGCATTTCGGCCCATCTTGCGATCCCCCGAGCCTTTAAACCCACATTAGGAAGCAGGGCCCTCTTCGCGAGCTTGCGTGCACCCGACTGAAGACACGGCATGAAAGCTACTCGTCCTTACGAGTGATGGCTGCAAATGAAGAAATAGAGAAACTTTTTGATCCCCTTCTCTGGCCAGAGGGAAGCCTTTTCAACGAGTTGACAGGTCAGCTGAATGAGAGCCACACATAGCAAGGGGTATTCGAAGCGCCTCTCTCCCATAATGCCGGAACAGATACGTAACCTAGACATTTACTATCAGAATGTCCAAGGTCTTCCCACAAAAGCTAACTTTTTTTCTAATGTAACCCTAACTGATGTGTCTATTATTGCGCTAAACGAGACCTGGCCTTGTTCTATTTATTTATCCAATGTCTTCCCACCTAATTTTGCAGTACTTAGACGTGATCGTGTATTCTCTACTAGGAAAAAGACGTTGGGTGGAGTGCTGAGAGAAATTGATGCGTCCTTACAACGTGTTAGGCGTCCGGATCTTGAGACATTGTTTGAGTCAGTGTGGATAGAGCTGCCATGTGCGAATGGCGAGCATATCCTCCTGGGCGCTTATTACTTGCCCTCTGACACGTCTCCAGATGGTTTTCGCCAATGTCTACTGGGCATTGAGTGTACAACCAAGGCCCTGAATAAATTCAAATTTATAGTTCTTGGAGATTTTAATGTCTGTAACATATGCTGGAAAGCAACCTCAGTGTCCTCTAGAAGTTACTATATTATTCAGAAATCTAATTTCTTGCTGAATTTTTCATCATTTACAAATTTAAAACAATACAACTGTATCTCAAACACCCAGGGCAACATGCTTGATCTATGTTTCGCAAATCTAGACTGTACAGATATAACAGAGGGTATGTCAAGCTTGCTTTCCTTCCTCCTCTCCTCTCTCTCCCCCCCCCTCCCTCCCTCCCTCCCTCCCTCCCTTCCCTCCCCTCCCTCCCTCCTCCTCCTCCTCCTCCTCCTCCTCCTCCTCCTCCTCCTCCTCCTCCTCCCTCCCTCCCTCCCTCCCCTCCCCTCCCCTCCCCTCCCCTCCCCTCCCCTCCCCCCCCCCCCCCCGGACGGACATCATGCCCCACTGGAGATCAGTATACCTATCTGACATGGCATGAGATGTTATTCACGGAGACATCCTGAAGTGAATAGACACAATCTTTCCGCTGGAGATTACGTTAGTTTGTACAATCATTTCTCCAATTACGACTGGTCCTCAATCACTCCGTGCTCCCGACGTTGCCCAAAAGGTTCACGATTTCGCTCGCATCGTTCAAGAACGAATGAATCAATTCATCCCGTTACAGGGGGGGAACACCGACGGCCGCCGTAGAGGCAAAGTGTGTTTCTGATGAGCTCTGTGTTGCACACCCAAAAGTTCAGAAAAATCATATTCTGCACAAATTAGTGATTACCACCATATTCTATTAAGCAAAAGGCACATGAAGACACCAGTTTTTCGCCGGTGAGTGCAATTGTGGTGAAATTAGGAAGACTTTCCCGAGCGGGAAGGCTAAGCCTTCTGTTAGCGTTGTAGGCCTAGCTAATAATACGGCGATGAATCAGGCCCCGCCCGGTGGAACCGATGCGGGCTGCACGGCTGTCACGTATGCCTCGGAAATCAGCTTGGATATAAATAAAAATAATTTCATCTACCGAAAAGATGCAAGTGCAGCAGATAACCAGGATTACCCATCGTCGGGAACGAAGAAAACAAGGCAACTCTGGATCAACGTAGTCTTGAAGGCACAGCGTCGACAAGCTCGGCAACAGCTAAACCTAACTCAAAAGCAAGTCACGCTGCCACCTTCACTTTCGTCGCCGAGGCAGCTGAGAAGAGCTACGACCCGCAGACCTGCTCCCACGCCCACACCCTTTCCCCTGAAAGAGTTTAAGCGAATTTTGCGACCATGCAACGGACTCAACGTAAGCCGGCTCCAAGCGTCCTCACTGCTCTAGCCCAGCTTCAGGGCACCAGCACAATGGGGCAACAAGCCAACAGGTGCCTGCAGATCAACCAGAGCCAAAACACTGCAATAGTGAGCATCCCATCTAAAGTTGCGAAACTATTACTTCACATAACCCAAACCAAGATTGGCAAAGCAGAGCACACAGTGGAGGTCTGCGGACTTGTGCCAAACGATGCAGTAAGGAGTTTTACAAGAAGTCCAAGCCCAGTTTTCGATTCAAGAAATCATGAAAAATATAGACCAAGATGAACTTTACCTGAAAGACGCAAGGAGTGCAGCAAAGCACACCCGGAAGAGAAGCACTCAGGAGAGACATACTGCGCAAACTGCCATATCAGGCAAAATGACACAGGGTGACACCTTTCTAGCCAAGAAGAATGCAAATGCGTGTCTCCAGAAGAGACCAAAGGATCCGACGATGCAAGGAAGGTTGCGACACAACCGCACAACAACGAAGCGTGAGGAGGCCGAAACAAATAAAACAGATTCTCACCGCGTTAAAGATTTCCCTCCGCTAAGCAATTATCACACGGGGCACACCAGGTAAGCAGACGTACAAACAAGCCCTTAGAGCAAAAGGCGAAACAGCACGACCCCGAAATGGGAAAGCAGCATCCATGTCAAGCATCCAAGACGCTGCCAGTCAAGCCCAATGTGGCTTAGGCAGGTCTGACTTCAACCTCGCTTTGTTCATATGCAATAAATTATTATTATGTCCTCGTTTATGGCTTCATGGACAAAGACATTCAGCTGGCTCCAGGCCAAGCCCACCATAGCATTCTATCCAAAGCAACAAGCCCAAACGTCAGCTCGCAAAAAGTATAAGAGTCGATGAGACACGATTCATGGGGCAGCAATGTTGACCAGAAATCAGGACCTTTAGACAATGCCGCAGCTTCATCTTCTCTTGAAACGCAATATCAAACAAAGAAATGGCTGCATGCATCACTCACCTTGCAGACATCTACGTAGCCGCTTCCGTTGCAGTCTTACCTCATTCCTGATCTAGACTGCAGAGACAGCAGATGCCGTTCAGCGAACACGCTGCCGCTCGAATCAAGCCAAGTTCTGCGGGATGCACCAGACAAAATATGCTCGTGAGCTTGTATCATTAACACAATCACATTTCATATGCCAGAATATCCTACCTTAAGATGACAAGTGCTGCTAAAATGTAAATGAAGACACAGCCTACTGTACGTAAATTTTCTGGATGTTGCACCATTTTGGCATACCTTACAATAATAATAATAATGCTTTATTTGAATCATGCCCCAGAACGACCACTAGGTCATGTGTGGTGGCACATAAAATGGTAGTACATGACTTAACACAATGTACCCCACCTGTAAAAAAGAAAAGACTAACATGCAATCAGGAATTGAAAAGATAAAAAATTAGCTCCCTTCTAAACACTGATATATCTGAAAAGATATTAACATGAGAAGACAGTTCATTACCACAAATCTGCATCCTTACCATCGGTGACAATTTCGATTGAATGGAGGGGTAAAATATACTAAATTCTCTAACAACACTGTTACAAAAGCAAGAAAGAAAAACATCACTTATTTAAGCCACCAGCAGACATCCAAAAAAAACCACCTTGGGACCTCGCGATACTGCTCACACGCCAGCCTTTCTCGGCAAATTACCATGTGCAGTCTCCACATTAACAGTGCGCACGTTCCGACAGTGTACAAACAAAAAATAGGCAACGACAATAGCGAGAGGAAAATGGGAGCTCGTTCGTGGTGCCGTGCCTCGCATCTCCCCTGTAGACCAAACTGACCATTTTAAACCGAAGCAGCGCCAACGGGCATGGCCTAAGAAGTATGAACGTAAGCACAGTATCTCTAACCCTGCCATGTCCACGATGTGTGAGCGTCGACGGCTGCTGGAGGAAGCACGACAGGTTGAACCTTGCTTTCCCTCGGAGGGGTGGAAGGAAGATTTGTTTTTGAAGACCTCGAAACTAAGCGCTCATCTAGCATGCTGCAAGGGCTTGATCGTGGACGGCGAGTTCGAGGTGTCTAAAGCATCGTCTTGAAGGAAAGTATAACCTTTGCAATCGTCTCGAATAAAAACTGGTTATCTCAAAAAAGCAACCCGCATATGCACAGCATGCAGGACCTAGAAATCCTACTGCACGAACTGGAACATTTAGGATCTGCAGTGGATGACCCTACCAAGGTGTGACGACTAAAACGGTCCATGTAATTGATGAGATTTGTCCTCGCAAGGACCGTCTCTGATTTTGCTAACCGGAGATATGCATAAACTGTGCAAAACTTCAGCTCCACCTAACCATCAAGCAAGTGGCAGAAAGGATGACTAAAAAAAAAAGCAGCGGCATCTTGAAAGCAGGTAAGGAAAAACCTAAAGCTGCGACTGAAATGTGCAAAGGCTGCGAAGTACAAGTTCTTCTTTCATTTGCAGAAACAAAGAAAAAAAAAGGTGGAGTCATTAGACATGATGATAGATGATAGAGTTCAAGATCTCCTGAGCATGCAAAAATTGACAATCGATGTGGCTCTAAAAATAATGCAAAACCCAACGAAGGTCTCGAGTGTGCTACAGTTCAGACCGGCTTATGTATGGCTTAATCTTGAGATTCGCTAGCCCAAAGGGTTAAAATGACAAAAATAATGGATCTCCTTCCACTGTAGTCCCAGCAAACTCTCACAGCTCCTTAGCAGAATGCCGTCAAAATATGGGTTCAATGCACTTGCTTTGGCAAGCATCTCGAATCAACTCAAGGACAAGTCTGACACCTACAAAGTGGGAACATTATTGACAAACGAAATCAAGCTGCGCAAAGGATTGAGCTTTGACAAGTTGACAGGAAAATTTGACATCTTGTACACCCCAAGATGGGGAACAATAAAAAAAAACGACGAAGACAACAAAATCTGAAATGCAGCTGCATTTAAGATTTTGTTGTCTTCGTCCGTTTTTTTTATTGTTCCCCATCTCAGGGTTTACAAGATGATGATTCATTACCAGCTCGCCTGCACTTTATCACTGTTTACAAGGCAGATTTGACGGTTTTGTCAATTACAGCGAGTTCACAGATGACGACGCGACAATGAAGCTGGCAGATAATGCATTGCTCCTAATGTTTACTCCCATCTTTGAGAGTCGAGTCCAGCCAATTGCTGCTTTTACAACTGAGGAAGCGGCACCTGGGTGAGCACTTGCAAGCTTGTCTTAGAAGCCGTAATATAGTTACTATATAAAAATAATAGAACTGTTGTTGCGGTCATCAGTGACAGCACTCGAAACAAGAAATCGATGTAAACACAACTGGGTGTATCAGAAAAATTGGGCTGAACCAACTGCAAACTTCAGCACCTGTGCATCCCTGCAGGAAATCCCATTTACATTGTATGTATGTATGCACATATGTCTATATGAATACATTTTGTATATGCATCTATTCGGAAATGCAAGTATAGTAGGAATAGACATTTTTGGTTTACCACGAACGTTTACAGGTGGCTACACTTTCCCATGAAATGGGTATCCCTAGTAAATTGAGGCAAGCATGCATTTCCATCACAGACGCTTTTGACTTGCAGCTATCAGGACAATAGAATCGCTCTGCCTGCATCACCTACGGTGCAAGTGCTGGGACAGCAGCACTTGCACCATAGGTGACCCAAGAGCTGCAACACCCTATTTAACATGTCTATGGGGCACACCAGGATTTCTAAAATGTTCCGACGTGGCCATTAAAAATGTTGGATGTTAGAAGTGCTTGAGATGACCGTCAAAGTTCTCTAAGGGGCCTGAGTACCCTTTAACAATTCCTGAGGGGTGTAAGAGACCCATCATAGCTTTTTGAGAGACCTGTGAGGTCTGTCCCAATCCTTTTCGTGAAACTACAGCCCCTATCAAAAATTATTTTAACGGGTCTCTAGGTCAGATCATGCGACCATTCAGGATACATTCTGTCGGGGAAGCCACTCGGCCATTTCGCAACGGGTTGCGCGACAAGTTTTAGAAATATAGGAGACATTCCCCAGTCCCTTCCCGTAGTGGCGCGGCCCCAGCGAAGAGAAAACGGGCACGCACGAAACAACCCGTTGTGGAAAGGACGTTGCTCCTCTCCACTTCAGCTCTTAGTTTTCACCATTTCCCCCTTCACACGTTTTGCTGTTTGATTGTAGATAACCTGTTTTAGTCAGTCGAAATACAGTCTTTGTCAGAATCTGGTCACCCTGTTTTTTCTCAGTTTTTGGAGACCAAGTGTCGCATTTTCCGGGTTCAGGGTCTAGTTGGAGGAGTCCCGGCACACTTATGACACAGAGCTCTGCTTTTGCTGATTGTTTAAGGGCTTGCTTCGGTATCAAGGAGGCAGCCGGGCATGCTGCCTACATTTCGTGTGCAGGCTTTTTTGCCCCTATGTGCCGAACCTTGGTTTTCCCACGACAGGCTGTTTGTTACTTCCAGGATTGCATACGTCTGCTCCTTAAAAACCGACGACCACTTTGCGCTTTCCACTATTCCCTCGCTTCCTCCTCTCCCATGGTGAGGAGGAAATTCTGCCTTGCAGAATCTCGAGTCTGGTCGTCGGCCTTTAACCCCGAAACGCAGGGCCAAACGTAAAGATTCACAGAGGAAACCAGGTCCGGGAGACAGATGAGTCGATGGCCGTTAGGTCTCTCGCTAAGCCGGAGACAAGGTGCCTCTGGTTCTTGTAATCGTACCTCTCCCATGATGCTCACAGAACAGGCATGATACTCTGGAATGACTGGCATACTTTTCTTCTTGCTCGATCATCTCCGCTTACATTTCTCAGCCCCAAAAACGTGCTTCGGTTGACATGCGCCGACAGTTCGGTTTTGCAGCGAAGAGCAGTTGGTTGGCGTCCTGCATTGGGCTATTTCCTACTTACACCAAAATTCATAGCATGCTAACCCAGGAGCCAAATAATTGTGGCCCGAGAGAGTCTGGCCCGAGCCAATGAGATTATTCTGTCTCCGTTAAAGCCCCAAGATCTGTACCATTCTTCCCACTAATGAATGTACTCTTATTCGACGTATCTTTTATTTTAAATGTAGAACCTGGGTATAACTGTAATATTTGTAACGCTGTCACTGGACCCATCAAGTGTTCATCTCGTAGTACGTAATCTGCCCACCCAAGTCTCCAATTACAAGCTACCAGCACTGGTTCAGGGATGAAAATGTTTGATAGCTCAAATTTCTTTGTGTAGCAGGAAAAAATGGTGCTTCTAGATAACTTTAAACG